TTAAAAAACATCAAAACAAGCTCAAATTCTCAGGGTATGACTAATGTTGTCCGCTAAATGTGCTTATAAGATCGAAAAAATCTATAAGTATATTTTTGTTAATAGGTTTTCCAGAAACCCTTTTGGAAAATCTAAGAGCTATGTAAAATTTGCTTCGAGATCTTCTATGAATAGGATATAGAATAGCTTAAATACTCTACATTCTGAAGGTTTGAGCTTGTTCTGATGTTTTTTAAGTGAATAGTGAATTTTTTAATATTAGGTGAAAACAGCCTGAAAACCCTAATTTTCGTAAAACTGGCTTTTCGGTAGATTTTTAAAACTTTTTCTAAAAATAAATATTTCCACGAAACTCAGCATGGTTGATTACCCATAGTCCATCAGTCTTTAAGCCTACCAATAGCCACCGGGTCCCAGTCCTTGGACTCGTAGAAAATCCGATACAACGCCCGAACCGTGGAAAATCAAGGTCTCACTTTACTTCCATTTTGAAGCGGACATCCTGGGCTATCAGTCCATGAGGAAAAAGCAATACAATCGTATTGGAAAATCCTTACAGACGACCTAGTTTTCCAAAGATCTCCTAGGAAACCTATTTCAAAGAACTCTTCTGGAAATAATGTTGGTTATGAAAACGTGTATCCAAGTCTCCTCTTTCGAATGACGAAAACCGCAGGTCTCCATCTTGTTTCTACCAAAAGTTATTCAGAAAACAATGGCGTGCCTTGACTTCTGGAACGGATAATAGTTTGTTTTTAAAAGTGAACTTACCGAACGGGATGAAGAAAGTTTATCAGACAATAAGAGTGTATCATTCATATTATTCATGGAACGAATTTCAAGGTTATTCTATAATAATAATAATAATAAAATATTCACTCTGTTGGCTATATAATGTGATTTAATGCAAAACTTACATCCAAATCTGTTATGATAAAATATTTTGATAAAAAATTTGATGTAGCTAAATTTTCATATATTGGCTTATCGATTTGTTCAAGAGTTGGAATATGAATGAGTTGTACTTGATTTAAATTAGAAATATAGATGTTATCATTTGATGACCTAGAAAATACTATAAATATTTTATTTTTATTTTTTTTCTGATGAGTTTTTTTTTTTTTGATTATTATTGTCAATTACCATGCTAAAAATTTTACTCCATTTTCTAATTTTTTCCATGCTTCTCCACCATTCTCACTAGCATATAACTAAATTAGATAGAGTATATTAGTACAATTAAAGAAAATCGCATAACAAAGTGAATGTACCGTTGAAGGTTCATTTGACTCATCGTTTGCTAACCATAAATTCTTTTGATATGGCGATATATAAATATTTGATGGTTTAAAACTAATATTTAACTCTAGAAAGTTGTTTAATTGATCAAAACTATACAATGTACTATTAATATCATCGTAGATTATTAAATTCTAAAAAAAATTTATCAAAATCAACATTTATTCTTTTTCACATTTTATTTTAATATTTTACATCAATCTTTTTGTGTGGATGACTGAAAACTGGTACGATTTGACTTAGATCGAATTGTTGAGAGAATTTTCCATGATCATCAAACAAATATATATTTTGTGATAATGAAACACTCATTTGCGTGTCATTATTGAAATATTGAACTAGTGGCAATGATGTATTGATAGATTTATCGAATACATACTAGAATTAAACAAGAAGAATAATGATAATAATCAATTGTTAAAACTATTGTAAAATACCCCACTCCAGTAACCACTTGATGGTTTGCTAAGAACACTTGTCGTATTTTCTTCAGCTCGTAAGAAGCATGATGTTAAATGAATAATAATAATAGAAATGATGGATGAGAATTTAAATATGTTCATCTAAAAATTGACAAGTTGAACATTTTTTTTTTCTCAGCTTTAAAACAGGTAATATCAACAACAGCATGATCGATAATAACATACATTATAAGAGTGATTTACATTTTTCTAGCTGAGTAAAAAGCTTTAGTCATCTATAACTTTACCTAAAACAAGTTTACTAACAAAAATATAATTAAAACAATGCATATTTTCTTTAAATGTTATCTATTTAAGATTGTTACACGACTGTAATTCGCAAATATGATATGTTTTTTTTTTTATGAGAATATAATAGTTTTATTACTACAACACAGGTATATTTTGTACTGTATATCAAAAAAGGTCAACAAATCGTTATTCATCCAAAAAAATATCTCTCTTCTCTATTTATTAAATAAAATCAACAGAAAGGAGCGCATGAAACATGAAAAATAAATCTAAAAGACGTTTGCTAAAAATTTTAAATTTTATTTAGTGTATAATAAGTCTTTTAGCGAAACAACAAAGGAGTAAAGAAACTATCAGACCGTATCTTATAGATAAATTTTCACCTTGTATTTCAGACAGATTCCCTTTTTTATATCGAATAAATTTCTTTAACTATTTTAAAGAAAAATGTGTATGGTACTTTACATTACTTGAATATGAAAATTTTGATTGCTCACATGCGTAACATACTTTTGTAAAATTGAAAAACATATATCTAACTTTTGTTTACTTACCATTTAGTCTTTTTTTTTGATCTTTTTGGAATCATTAATAGTGAGATTAAACTTTTTGAGAAAATAAAAACTTACCACCTCTAAATATCGTTAAAAAATGAATTTACTGATAAAAAAAACATCAAGTATAGTCTATTTTTCATATGTTTTTTATCTTGGTGTAAAAAAAGTTAAATTTCTCAAGGCATGCGTATCGTGATAAAATACCGTATCCATAAGATTTTTCAAAAAAAACAAAAAGATAAAACTGAGGTACGATAGAATAGTGTCCATTAGTATTTGTTAAAAGAAGAAAAAAAATAAAAAACAGTTGTTGTTTTCTCGTGTGTGAATATATATACAAAGCACTGATAAAAGAAAAAGCATGTATAAAAAAAAGTGCGGTTTTTCGTTCTTCGAAATAAAAATAAAAAATTTGCTTTACCACTCTTTTCAAAATAACACGTAAAAGAAATTCTGGTTAATGGTGATGACCATATGTTTTGTTACCAAACGTCTCTCTCTCTCGCTCCGACGATTAATATGTATTTCAAAGTCGAAAAGCTATATATAGCCATCCTTTAAACTCACAGAAGCAAACTTTACATGTAATGCATATGTGCATGTGTAGCATTAGAACTAAGGAGAATCTACATATTTAGATCTAATACATTCTATTATAGGTCGAGAAAAACATGTTATTCTCTTTTTGTATGTCTGTAGCCTATATAACTACTTTTCTAATTTTACACCTGATGGTGAATAAATTACCTTTCTCTACGACGTACAGGGTAATTAGCTCACCATTTTACAGCAAAAAATATTACTTTTCTCTTATTTTCAATTTTCACTGTGTAGGGACAGAAACCTTCAAACCTGCGTGCTTCAGTCTTTCTTACCTGGATGCGTTTACTCAACTAAAACAGTGACTGAAAGCACAAAGTCAACAATTACGCAAAGATTTGTCTTGGATGAAACAAAAATGTAACATTATGAGCCTCATAGATAGTAATAATATGCAGAGGTCGTCCATGATCAATGGATTACCGGGCATGTGACGTCATCTAGCACGATGGTAAATCTCTTGTGTTATACATGATGTAGAAAATAGATTGTAAGTTTTATTCATGAGATCTTTTACTGTTTTGTACATAAATTTTGACGTAATTGATTCTGGAGACTTTTTTTCTAGCTTTTGACTGGTTCACCGAGATGACTGAGAAAAATATTAGATCAAGACAGCCACAACTTAGTTTGTTATTTTGAGTGTAAGAACGTAAGTCTTTGCTTATTTCGATCAATCAGTTTTGTCACAATAGTTCGTATATAAAAGACGAGCATGTTATTGCCAGTTAATTGCAAGCGTGGTATACAAATGATTCTATATTGTGAACCATTTTCCTCTCTAGTACTATGATGATAATGGATGTGGTTTACTATATGACAATAATTTGTTCGATCTGCTGTACGGCTTAAGCGGATATCAAATAGCGTACGAGGAAGACGACTACAATGATATCACATTACGCTATGGTATTGTGTTTATGGATTAACTATTCCAACAGATAGTAAGTTTAGTTTAAATCGTTGTTTTCTCTCGCTTCATAACTAACACTTTTTAGTATGTCACTTTGATATTATATTACATGTTTATTTATCCAAGCAAGAGAATTACAAAAGCCTATTGCCCATTTCTTCTCTGTTTTTTTTTGTAGAACGAATGACCTGACTTACTTACTCACGTATTCTATAACTCCACATGTCTTCCTAAGGTTTCTCTCATGAAACTCATATTACCCAACACAGCTATCCGATCAACAACGAAATGTACAGATATCCGATTATTCATCACGCTCTCTAGATCAAAAATACCCATTTGTTATTGAATATCTATTTTTATCGACTTTTTGTTGTGCATTTATATAGGATCTTGTATTTTTCATCTTCTTTTGAGTATTTTGTACATTTTGCTCTACTGAAGATTGACTATAGTTATTGGACTTAAAGCCATAAACATCGTCATCTTCTCCTCTTGACTATGTTTCCAGCATCGTTGCCGTGTCTTTTTTTTGTTAGATTTTTTCTTGTTATTATGATCATGCACCAATAAAACAAGGTTACTTTGCTCTCTTTTTAAGCTGCTTCTTACAAAATGTCTTGTTTCCACTTTTTTTCAACAAAATCTCTTTTAAGATAACAGTCAGCAGAGAATCACAGTGTTATGATGGAGAATAACAATATGACAATTGAAAGCAGTGACAATGGAAATTTGGGAAATAAACGCCCGTATGAAAACGATCAGCAGCAGCAGCAGCAACAACAACAACAACAAAATCAACAAGAGATTAAACGCAGCCGAATAGCTAAAGTTGATTGTAGATTTTTGTTACAAAGTAGAGATGCTGGATGTATCATCGGTAAAGGTATGCCATCCAGAAAAATAGGATGTCATTGTAAATTTCAAACTAGTTAAACCTGTCTGTTTTCAGGTGGGAAAACAATTCAACAATTGCGCACAACTCATCGCACAATTATTCAGGTTAGAATTATCGCAGAACAGTGTCCTGTTTCCTCCTTTCAAACTTCTCGTTTATCGATTATATATACTCGTTTCAGGTTCCTGATTGCGACGCACCTGAGCGAGTATTGACTGTCACAGGTAATTCTCAGCAATTTTCGTTTTAAGTGATCAAGAAAATTTCATTGTGATGTTTAGGTGATATTGAACAAATTCTCGAATGTATTGCCGAGATTTTAAATGTTATATCAGAAAATCAACGCGTTCGACCAGATATATCTGAAATACGTGCATTGATTCATCAAAGTCAAGCTGGTGCTATTATTGGCAAAGGTTTGTCTCTTCTCTTCATTTTAGTTATTGACAAATCTAAGCTTTCTGAATCTCCTTGTTGCTACGAATAATCGATAAACTTTTATATATGTACTCAAAATTGCAAGTATTTTTTCTGATATGACGAAGATTCTGAATTTTGCAGTTGAAATAAACTATTAGTTCACGCTGCAGCATTAGACATTAAAGAGTAGAAGAGAAAATAACTTATACTGTCTTTTGTTTGCATTCCAGGTGGTCAACGTGTGAAGGAATTTCGTGAGAAATATAATCTTGATGTAAAAGTATATCCACAATGCGCTCCTGGCGGTTCAACTGAAAGATGCATATCGGTTAGTTTTTCGTCACAAAATATTCTCATTCTGGATAAAATGTATGGTTTTTGTAAAAGTTTAGATGCGTGGTCAGCGCGACGATGTCATGCGCTGTTTGAAAGAGGTGTATAGTATATTAGAATCAGGTATAATTAATAACATGATTTCTTTTCTGTATCTAGCATCTGTTTGTTTTTCGTTTTTCAGTTCCCCCGCGGGGTCCCTCACGATATTATGATCCGAATAATTATGATGGTTTTAATGTTCAAGAATATGGTAATGTGTTTTATTAACGCATTGTGTCTATATGTACAACTAACTAGCTTGTCATTTTTTTAGTAGTATTTCCAGATGGGCAAAATCAGAAAAGACGGGGGGGTGGTGGTGGCGGTGGCGGTTTTAACAATAACAATAACAATCGAAATAATTATAATAATTTTAATAATAATAACAATTACAGTCAACAGCAGGCAAAAACAGCGAAAATCATCATCATGCTTCTCTCTTAGACAATAGAAGCTTTTTTCTATTTAGGGTTGGAATAATGGTAGAAATGATGGTTATGGTGGGCGTGGAGGAGGAAATTATAACGATTATGATTCGCGTGGCGGCAACGTTCAAGGAAATGCATCTGGTGTGACAACCACACAAGTAAGAAAGAAACGTACAGATGATGTACTCTACAGGTATGAGGGTAATTTATCTATAGTCTTTATCATCCCGTGTGGATGAGCATAAAGAAACACAAAAACTTTGTGTCTGATTTGAAAAAAGATATTCAAATATTTTGCGTAACATTTGCCTCTCTCAGACTTTTACTCGTCCACACACACGACAACAAAAACCTGAATAAATGTATATTGTGTTCCGAGATAAGTCATCTTATTTGTTTATTTATACTTTTTATCATAGGTAACGATACCAAATGATTTGGCGGGTTGTGTAATTGGAGCACGTGGATCTCGTATATCACAAATACGTCAACAATCGGGAGCTGAGGTTCGCATTGATAGTCAACCATTGCAGGATACAAATGATCGTGTTATCTCAATAACGGGCAATCCTCAAGTAAGCTATTCGATTATTAAAATCATCATTTGGATAAAATGCTGCTGATAAGTCTTAACAAGACATATAATATTTAACTGTTTTAGCAAATTCAACAAGCTCAGTATTTATTGCAAATGGCTGTTAAACAATCAGGTTTATGGCAAGGAGGACAAAATTAATAGATACAGAACATAAAACTTTCTTTTGTTCTCGTTCAATAAACTCTCGTTTCCTTCTACATTTTTGTCAGTTTTGACTTGTAAGATGATATTCAAAAATTTTCAACAAAAAAGGCACTCGTTCACTCAGTTTTTTTCTTCTTCTTTCGTGTGAAAAAGATTATCACATACACAAAAAAAATAAACATTTATTCATCTTTTTTTTGTGTTTCATGTAAATTTGTTCATTCTTTTTTTCCTTTATTGATTAAATGAATACTTATATTTAGTATGCAAAAAAGAATGTTCGCTGTTCGACCGCATATTATTGTAAAAAGTTCATCTCTTTCTTTTTGTATTGTTCAAAAACTTTCTTATGTGGTTCAAAAACGAATAAAACTTGTGTCCGAAATTTATGCAAAAATAAAACAGAAAACTATAAATATTCAACTCGGTCGCTTTCTACATTTTCTGAAAAAAGAAATAGTAGCAGTAACGTTAATGGTATTTTAATTTTATGTGAACATACGATGAAACGTATGGCTTAATAGCTTAACATTCCACGAGAAATGTAAAATAACGTATGCTTTATATCTACCATGATGGCAGCTCTTAAAAAGCTAGTTTTTACTATCTGTCCAGTAAACCAGTATACATACTCTCAATTACTTTTTGATTAACTGTTGATAGATAAGGGATAGTTTTCAAATTTTTTATTGTGAAATCAAAACTCTTAATATTTTTCATGAAAAACCATATTTGAAAAACCTGTATCCACAATGTGTTCCACATTATGTTCACAGCAGTACCTGTAGGTACAGAAAAGAGTACGAAAATCAAGATGAACACAAAAAAATTTCTAAGTTCTAGTTTTTCTTTGTATTTTGCACTGTTATCATGGAAAGCAACTCAAATTATCCTGAAATTTTTAAGTCTATTGGATCGATTTTGATTGTGATATAAACTTATTCATATTTTGACTGGTGTAGATTTGAAACCGCATACTATCGAAAAACTAGTTTTCCAACCTTTTTTAAAAAACAGATGTTGTCAACATGCCCAATCACCAAGATTTCATGGGTCTTAAAAGTCAACAGATTCAGTCCTAAGACTTTTCTTTCTTGACTTTCGTTTTCAAGACGATGCCTTTCCATGAAAAAAAAACAGTATATTTCTGTTACAAAACTTTATAGCATAAATAGATTTTCTATAAGTTCTTTAAAAACTTCAGCACGGTCTGAATTCTCTATCACTTAACCGTCAAAATTTATTCAGAAAGTAGCAGCTTTATTGGACAGATCGTAGAAAGGAGTCAAATTTATGTTTACTTTATCGGTATAGTCTGATGAAAAGAAAGGACCATATAATATAAAAAATAAAAAAAGTTAAATTATAAAAGACTAAAATTAAACTAAAACAAAATACTTTGCTGTAGCGAATTTTTTTGAACTAACTATTACAAAGTGTAAAACTAATGTTCTAAAAACAGCAACTGTACGCTCGTACTGGAAACCAATTCAAAATGGCAAGATATAAATCTCTAACTCCACTAGCGAGGAAACCGATTTAACTGTCAAATCGTTTTTCAATGAGACATAGTAGATTATAGGTTATCAGCTATGCTAATTCCGAATATGACCATGGAAGTTGCTTATAGATCTCCAGAGATCCAGTTTTTCATAAACTCTAAAAAATAATCAAGATCTTTCTTAATGAGGCATAATTGTAGTGCGCACATTTCTGATTAAAATGAGACATCTTTCAGCTCTACACGACCTTTCTTTGCAAAGTTATAGATTGTACAAGAAAAGCCCTAAATGTTCATTGTCAGGTCAAAGCTACAGAAATAAGGAAAAAATTAATTTAGGGCTTTTTCTTGTAAGATCTATAACTTTGCAAAGAAAGGTTGTGTAGAGCTGGAAGATGTCAGTATTGGTTATTTTTTAGAGTTTCTGAAAAACTAGCTTTCGGAAAACCGGAGCTCTGGAGACCTATAAGCAACTTCCATGGTCATATTCGAAATCAGCATAGTCGATAATCTATAATCCACTAGGTCTCAATGAAAAAACGATTTGACAGTTAAATCGGTTCCTTGTAAGATGAATGTGAGAGGAACTTCTCATAGCATTGTTCGTTTTATTTAAAAATATATATACGCACTAGATATTCTTAGCCTATACCTGTAAATCGGCCGTGACTGTGCCTGAAGAGGTCATCTGTCAAGTATATTTTCATAATCGACACAATCACTGATTCTCAATGATATAAACAAACTATGAAGAACGCTCTTCTATTTTTCTCTCGTATAGATCGGATGCTATACAAGTAATGGCTACTGACATAGATATAGGTTTGCGTGGGAGCATCAATTACCTATATTCGCCTAAGCAAAAGAAAACGTGTCAACTGACTGAGTGTAGTATATCTTTTGTTCATACAGTTTTCTATTCAGAAATATTAACGACTAAACGACGGTAAGTATATGGAGCTAATTCCATAAACTGCTGTATTTAGGTGCGCACCAGTTACGGACCAGTTACTTTCGACTGTTTTTTGGGGCATTCGGGAAAGTTGCTTTAGCGCGGGTATTAAGAATCGCTCAGACATGCGAAACGCCTCATTTTGTAGACAAATGTTTCGCCTATGTATTTTATATGAAAGATAAAATTAAAGCTTGAAAGAGAGAAATGTTTTTAACGAATTACTGAAGAGGCACGAACAGTTATGTAACTGGTGACTAGTTATCACGTACAGTTATGGCATTTAAGAATGCTCATATTTTTGTCACAATTAACTTTAAACTTTTTTTGTTTCAACAGATGTAGAGAACAAACATTTGTCTACAAAATGAGACGTTCCGCAAGCGTGAGCGATTCTTAATAATCGCGTTAGAATAATTTTTCTGGATGCCCTAACACCAATTATATAACTGGTGCATGCCTAACTGTATTTTTGCTTAAAGAAGTCGGGATTCTACTAAAATAAGTTAACTCCTTTAAATCGACACGGAGCCGATCTATAATGTTAATAAATTTCATTTTTATTTCTGTTAAAGATAACAAAAGAAGAATAGTCTTAATATGAGCTGGCGACTGGCATTTCATTCTACCAAATTGCTTACGTCTTACCTATTTCCTATGCGCGTCAAAGGATTCAGAGAAGCCATATTTGATGGTAAACTTGAAACTATTCGTCATTTAGCCGAAAAGCGTCCACGATTATTACATCAATCAATCGATGCCGATGGAAACACAGCTCTAGGTAATTAATCTGACTAATTCTCAGTTTTTGAGATGATGGTTATTACATGCATTTTTATGTTAAAAATTTTCTAGGCTTGGCAATTTTACTTAGCGATGTCGACACTGTTAAAGAACTGTTAGACCTAGGAGCTGATCCAAATCTCGCAAATGGATTTGATCATAATCATCCGCTTGTTATATTGGCAAAAATTCGTCAAGAAGAAGGTGATCCAAGGCAGCAATTAGCTGATATTCTTTTAGAAGCAGGAAGCGATCCTAATTGTATTGTTCGTTATCAAGCAGACAATCTAAATCGTTTGGATGCTACACAAACGCCATCCTTTTGTGAAACACCATTTCTGTGTGCAGTGAGATATTCAAACGAAATTTTTGTGAAAAAATTATGCGCTAAAGGAGCGGACATTGAATTAGCGAATGAAGAAACGGGAATGACAGCATTAATGCTAGCAAGTTCAATGGGATACAATAATATAGTTAATATTCTTCTCGACGCTGGGGCAGACCCCAACCAAGTTGATTATCAAGGAAATGCCGCACTCCATCATGCAACTAGTGGTTACGGTGAGAATATTGAATGTATCAAGACTCTAATCAGTCGTGGTGCCAATATCAATATTTCAAATGAAATTGGTTTCACACCATTAATGCTTGCAAAAGAAAATTGGAATGATGCCGTTGTTAAACTACTAACATCGAATTCGAGCTCAGAGCCACAATCAAACTCATTACCCCCTCCTCCGGTGTATGATAAAATTGATCCAATAAACGATGAAAAAATGATTTCGTTTATATAGTCTTACAAAGTCAAAGATGACATTTCATAATCGTTGTTCTTTTTCACTCTCAATCACCATATATTCTTTTTTGGCCAATAATTGACTGTTCTTTTCTATATGTAAATAATTGCTGAAATCCATAAAAAATATCCAGTTGAGCTAAGTCATATATTTTTTTATTATGTATAACATGCAAAATCTACTATTTTTATACTACTGTATCAAAATACTGTAATTATTTATTTTAAAAATAACATAAAACAAACGTTTCAATATTTCTTAAATCAAGAACTATGTTTCTTCATCGAACATTAGGTAGCTCCCTTATAAATCTCTTCTATTTTCCATCAAAACATGACATCTCGAGACAACAAGTAATCTGAAGTGTTTACTTTCTAAAGCGGTCATTCCCACATTCAACCAGAAGGCAATATACTCGTTTCCAATTTTTCAGACAGCACTTATAGTTCTCGAGAAAATCGTTACAGAAAATAACATCTTTTTTGATCTAGGGAAAAAAGATACCGATGATTATTACAATGCGGCGAATTTGAGCGATGGTTTGTAACAGTATAAATTCAGACGGTTGTTTGTTACTGCTTTCCATCCTCTCTCTAATAGTGTGAAAAAGCTGTCCATGAATATCAGTTTGAATTTTTCAGAGAATAAGCGCACCACATTTACTTTATTTTGTATTCTAACTTTAGTAGAACACAAATCTTGAATAGAAAAAATCTGATATACCAATTGTGTGTTACCATTGAATATGAATTGTATTTTACGATTACTATTGCAATATTTTACTGAATAACGATAATAGTAGACTGGCTCGACCTATTCGAGAGCGAATTGCTTGTATATGTTTTAAAGAGCTACGATGACATCAGATACGTTTTACATCGTAATCTATGGTGTGAAATAGTCCGCGATTCTTAACCTGCTAATCTGAATTTTTAAAAATTCAGATACCCAACTCATCATCACATATAAGGATGTTACGAGTACCTTTAGAAAAGATATTTTTTTCTGAGTATGCTAAAATATAGAATAAACATTTTCCTGTAAAATGAGAGGTCACAGAGCTCTGAACGTTTTTTTATTCGCATTCTGTTTTTGTTCTAATAATGTTTCCCATCTAGCCTAGACTCCGTTAGAAATTTGTTCTTAAATGAGTACAGAATTATTAGAAAAAAATCATAGAGCTCGGTGACATCTTATTTTGTAGAGTAACATGTACTCTGTACTTCTGGAAGCTTAAAAAAAAATTACATCTTCAGAGATTCACAACAAAGTTTAAAAATGATATAAAATAAGCTCATAACATCCTTAGTGAGTTACATGTAAAGAAGTACAGTTCTTATATGTAAGAAGTTGAGTAAAATACTCAACTAAAGTAAATTGAATATATTTTTCACAAGTCTAAGCAAATAAAACGGTTATTAATATCCTTTTTTCTTATAGATCAGTTAGATATACAAACCAATTAGCAAGATAGATCATTTTGTTGACATACGATCAAAAACGCTAAAAAGATATTATATTGAATGAAAATAAAAACATATAGATACGTAATTATAAAAAAACAAGGTTCACCGTAACAAAAATTCTTTTTACCACAGTCATGGCTTCTATTTGCATTAATATATAAGGATAAGAATGCAATATGATAGCGCGCACAATCTACACTTTGTACAGGTGACTATCTATTTTTTCAGAGGAAACACCGAAGAAGAAATTAAAATATAAAATACACTCGTTTGAAAAACTGTACGACAATAAAATGTCAATTGAGCACGCGTAACACAATCATGGGCTGAAAAACAAAATTAATTTGTGAAAAAAAATCTTTACAAAAGATTTTTGTTTTTTATCATATGTACAAAAGAGTAAAATGTGAAACAAACTAACAGGGATAAATACACAATAATATGTGTATTTCAGCTATGTACATAATACAAAAAAATGATTGTTTTTTGCAAATGACACATAACAATTAAAAATCTTTTAGACGTAAAAAATTTCTTACTAACAGAAATTCTTTTAATCTCGATTAAAAATTGAAGAAAATAGTTTGCAAATAAAGAATACATGTTAAACTGTTTTCAGTTTGAATTAGACATATTACATGCAAAAAACAAACAAATCCACTTGCACAAGCGAGTACACATTAGAAAAAAAAAGACAACGAACAAATAACACTGGACTCTCTCTCTCTCTTTCTTGCTTTTTTCACAAAATAAGTCAGAAATGTTTTACTTGGTTCACCGGTTCTTTTTTTATAATACTATTGACAGTTTATCAATATTTATTTTCGTTAAATCTTCTATCAACGCTCAAAATGATTGTGGATTTAAAAAATTCTTTGTTTTTTTTAATTACGATCAGTTCGTTTAGACGTATATATATGTTCTAGATCTTTTACAATTGACTGAACAAAACCATCGGTATTTCCAGCAACAGGCATATCTAATAAGACAGAAATAGGTCTTTTGATCATTATATACATACAATATACATGTATTTCATGACTTACGATATTTTGATGCCAAAAGTTGATCGAGTATTGGTTCCAATTTAGGATTCGATGATGATGAGAAAAACTGACTATCTTTCAAACGTTTTAAAATGATTAATTTCATAGATGATATAACGTCAATCAATGCTTCTAGAATAAAAAAAAAGAAATACAAAACGTAGCATTCATTTGCACAGAATAAAAAATCATGTTTAAAGCCCTACTATCAGGATCTAATGCTATTTGGTTCTTATTGAAGGGGTATGGAGGTTTTTAGAAAAGTTTTCTGAAAAGCTGACCTGTCAAAAATTTTTTACTTTCCGATAAAAAAAAAATCTAAAAATATTCCCAAAAACACCAGGAAATAGAGCAAACATTTCTGATCAAAATGAGATATCTCCCAGCTCTGAATGATGTTCTAATCAAGAGTTATGAGAGTTTTGCCGAAAGCCCTAGAACACGCATCAGATACTGGCATCGCTATACCTCGAAAGTGACTTTCACCGTAACACCATTTCGTAGGTCCAAGATTGCTCGGTAACGAAACATCGTAGAGAGCTCGGGAAGTCTTAAACTAAAGCTGATACATGTGGCTAGAGGATAGTAGAGCCCGCTTTTTGGTATTCAGCCTAGGTTTGTGGTTAGAAAAATATCTTTATGCAAGTTAATGAGACTTTTTCGAATGTTCGCTTTTCGACACTCACCATTTATTTGAAAAGTAAAGTGTGCAGAACCCGACTCTATTAGCCTCAAGCCACATGTATTTTCGTCAAGTTTAGACTAGCCCGAGCTCTCCACAACGTTTCGTTACTGAGAAATCTTGCAGCTACGAATAACCCCATTTCTGGGGGCTTAACTTGGGCTCAACGTCTACTACAGCAGATTTAACAGAACTGCTGAAAAAGAACAAAATTTAGCTTTCGTCATTTTTATAGCTAAACTAACTTCGCATTCTAATCTGATGTTAAAACCCCAGATTTCTAGATATATATATAATTCAGTATTCATACGAAATTATAACTTATGGAACATGACTCATATAGAACATACTGATGATCACCTACGAAAATTATTTCTTTCCATTGATTTCAGAATATAAATCCTCTATTATTCACTAGCACGTTTTAAATCAATGGCTTTGTTTCTCAATGTATTTTATTTTTGCGTTTCTTCGGTTCTAGCTTTAATTGAATGAATTTTTCAACATAAATAGATCTCGATGAAAACGTAAAAAGGTTGTCCTAGAAATATATTGTTTTTAATAGTTTATGTTATTTTATAGACAGAAATAGGTATACTTTGAGGCAGCGTTTTGACCAAGGAGGAAAAACATTTTTTCTCATCACAGCACCCGCAACACCTTTCAGCTTCTATCAACATGTTATATATCTTTCAACAGCACCTTTTCAGCACTAGGTGCTCCTTTCCGTTCCCTGATATCGACCCCAAAACTTGATGTAGTACGTTAAAATTTTTAATGCAGTTGAAAAAATATCCCTTTTCTATTTGTTGTAGATATACTTAAATCAAAAGAGTAAGAATTCAAAGTAAATTTTAGAGAAAACAAATTTCGATTGCAAACGTAATAATATTTTTGAAAAAAGCGGGGGTATATTCACAGCGTTTGATTAAAATATCGAATCTGCAAGACGCTTTTATGGTCTCTAAACATTGTCTTAAAGTTTCGTCATTAAAAAGGTGATTTTGCGCAACATTTATTATACGAAAAAGATCGTATTTAGATTGCTGTTTTGAAAGTACTTATAGTCCATTAACCCCATTTTAAGAAAAAAGTATTTAATCTATTCGAATATGCATATCATAAAAAATAAGTAAATATGAAAAGGTAGAAAAATGTAGATTTATTTTTCTCCCATGATGACTTTCAAAAACAAATTGTGGCTTCTTCTAAATGCGCCCAAGACTGTTGGGATGATTTCTGTTCTTTAGAATACATTTAACTCTATACGCAGAATAGTAAACTCATATTTGAAATTTTTTTTATTTCCGTTTCCGGAAAATGTGTGCCTTTTACAATGCAATAAATTTTCATAGTTAATTAGATTATTTCTTTCTTTTTCTGCCAGTAGGACCAGAATAGGACAAAAGAAAAACGTTCACTATTACTTTAACTTTTTCTTCTCTTTTTCATTCAAATGTAAAGTAGGTTCAGATAGAAAACTTACTATGTTCTTCATTGAGACCATGTAATTTCAACTTGTTTGCCTCGTGTTGGGCTTTCTTTCGTAAACGACATGCTCTAAAAATTAAAGGAATAAAGCACATATATAACAGTTTAGAGCAACGAAATGTACAATTACCTGCTTGCTATTTTGTTTTTTTCTTTTTTGACTTCTAATGAGTCATTTGCTTGTGCTGTAATGGCACTGGTATCAATAATATTATGATCGAGCAAAAATATACCGTTTAAACAGGGTAACCCCGATGTGGATGGAATGGTACCACTACTAGAAAGATCTTGGATTTGTTTACCAAGCTGATATAGTTTCATTGGATTTGGTGTCACGTCATTTCCATCACCTTTTCGTAGTTTGTTCAAGGTATGCCCTATTCAAGATAGAAAAGAAATTCTTTTAAATAACAGTAATTGCAAACTTTTATATATTCGAACCGTAATATATACCTTTTGTTTGTGTTAATTTTATTTGATAAACAGGATCAGAAAATTCCCGATACAAATGTGGATCACGTTCTTTCAAATATAATACCCGTTTCGTCTTGGGTCCTTTAGCTTGAACGTTATATTGCCAAAATAATGATGATTGATTTCCATTTGATGTTTCTACTGGGGGAGGATTTGTTGTTGCTGTTGAATTTGTATCTACTTCATTGGACTGTGTCATATATTTTGGAAATAACTCATTTGAATTGATAAAATTTTCAGCATCATTATCGTCAGCTTCTTCATCACGAACTAAACCAGAAAAATATATATAGAAAGGCGAAATGATTGTCCTATTGATAATATACATACAATGATCATTCTCCATATCCGACCATAAATCTGATTCACTATGAAGGTCAACAGTTCCTGTTGGACTCGAAGGATCATCTGAAAGAGTAACAGTAAAATTAATATCTCATTTCTTAGAAAATCAAACAATAGCAACTTTTAGGTCATTTTTCTTATAACGTGAAATTTATTAACGAACCTTTTATATCATCTTGTCCTTTGCTTATAAACGTTGAAGATAAGGATGAATGTTGTTTTTGTTCATTGTTATTCACTGTTGAAAATAGAGGATTATTTGTAGTGTTCGTTGTAGAACTATTGTTTAACGAATATAATGTACAATTTGTTTGTTGAAAATTCAATTCTGTGATATTGGTTGTTTTTGAAATTAATGAACGTGAATGATGACGTATGGGAGATTTTAGAGTCGAAGTACGTTGATTAAAACTTTTCATAAATGATGGTGTAGATGAAAATCCACCATATGATGATGAAAGATTTGTACTCTGTTGTTGTTGTACTTCAGAAAATGAATTTGATACAGGTCGTGGAGAATATGGCCATTTGTTATTATTGTTAGTCACATTTGATTCATTACTGATTGAAGACGATGAACCATTTGTTGTTGATGTTTTACTTAAATAGGATGATGGTGATATAGAAATATAAGACGTAGGCGATGTTATTTGTTGTTGTTCATTCAATGGACTTTTGTTTTCAATTTTTAAATCAGTACATTGAATTGTATTAAATAAACCACATCGATCTAAAGAAAAACGAATGGTTGCATTTATATTCTTCTATTTGCATTGATGTTACGTTAAAATATTATTTGTACAAAAAGTCACAAGATTACAGATTAAATATCACATAGTAATAGAATAAAAAGGAGACAAAGTATTGCCTGATGAAACTCATCTTTCTTTTTCGCATAAAGAACGGGTTATTTGAATTAAAACGATCTAAACCTCTCTAATCCGCTTGTATCTTAAAACTATTGTACCTGCAGTTGTGACAGTATTGTTTGATGTGTTCGATGTTCTAGAATGGGTCGCCCCTTCATTCATACTTGCTGAACGATTTCGTTGACTTTGATTACTATCTGATATAAATTCTTGTTGTACTTCAAATGGGTAAGATGTACCTAATAATTGTTGAGTTTGAGACTTTATTAATGGTGAATATTGTTGTGGATGTTGAGATGTTATATAAAAATTTTTTCCTGTTTTTCTTACAATTTGTTGTTGTTGTTGTGATGATTTATCTGGAAATGTACAATTTAAACTTAAATTGATAAATTTTGGACTTATTCCAAGTGATGAGGATGGATGCGACAGAGTACTATTACTGTTTGATAAATTATTCAGAGTTATCACACAATTTGAATTTGATGTTGGACGTATAACGTCAACAGGCTGAGTATTGGATAATTGTAAAAATGATGGTGATGATGTAGAAGGTGGTGGAGAAAGTATTGTCGGACACATGGAAGATATATTCAATGGTTGAGAAGGATAGTTTGTTTTAATATCTGAAATTGATGGATGTTGTGAACATCTGTCAATATAAGACGGTAAATGTTTATTAAATTGTGGTTGTGGTTCAAGATAGTCATTAAATGTGTCAAGATCGAATTCTTGATCCGTTGACGTTGGCGATAAAATATTTGTTAATGACGATGGCGATGGACTTATCAGAAGGACATCGTCATGTTTCATAATATCATCAATTTCATCACAAAAATCTTTAGTCGAAGAAAACGGATATTGCATAGTATTGGAAGATGTTTGTTGTTGTTGTTGTTGTTGTTGTTGTTCAATTGAAGAAGAACCAATACGAGTATCATCAGATTGGATAGTTGAGTTCAGTGGCGCATAATTGTTTAATGTTGATGATGATGATCGATATTCCCAACGTGGAAGAAGAACGCCTAAATAAAAGAAAAAATCTTAGTAACTAGATTACAAAATAAAATTCATTATCTACGATCTTCTGACGAAATAATTATTCAAGGCAGTTCTTTCAAGAATTACCTGAATCAAATGAACGCATTTGAGACGATTGATTAAAAAGTCCATCAGATGAATTAAATTGTGTTTGTTGAATCATATTCTAAATTTAAACATTTACATTATACGCGGATATTTGAAAATTTTAAACTAAGATTAAATAAAAATAATAGTTCTTGATAAAAAAAATAATGATAATAATCAAAAAATGAAACTAAACTCTATAATTAAAAAAAATTATAATAGACAAACATTCCACATTGTCTGAGGAAAATCCCATCTCGATAAATTTTTACATCATGAGACAATAACAATAGAAAAAAGAAAGAAGAAACTCTGTTATAATAACCAAATTGCCATATATCTGTTATTATTTTATTTCTACTTGAATACGCCTACATTTATTTATGTACCTTTCTTGTTAAAGCACGCTCATAATGTCATTTATGACGTAGTAGTTCAAAAAAAATAAATAAAAGAACTTGTTCGTCATGAAGTTTTTATCACGTTGTTGAAATAATGCCAGTAAAATAAAAAAGTAAGAAGAACGAAGTGTAGATAAAATCTAAATAACTAGAAAAATATTGTTTTTCTTAGTTTTATGGGACTATAATACTATTAATAAGCGATTATTATAAAGTTACATTTCACTTACATTTAGAAAATAACTTTATGCACAGTATTTTTCTTTTCTTTTGTAATTAACAGATGAATAATTTTAAAAAAAAAGATTATTAGTAGTAAAATATACGTCAAATAAACTAACTTTCTAATCTCTGTCTACTCTATCAATCAGTGAAAAGAACATATTCTCTTTCTCTCTATCTCTCTCTTTCTCTATTATTGAAGATAGACATTCTAACTTCAAATATTAGATAAAAGGAAATACACCAGCAATAAACTTGTATTCACATAGTTATATAAAGGTGGTGATTGTTAATTCAAATAACGAACTGATGAAAGATTTTCATAGATATTTGATTTAACATTGTTTACTTTAGGATAGATCTTGTTTTTTGCTATCACATATTCTTTAAAACTTGAAATATGGCGGATATACTAGAAAACTTTTACTATTTTTTGTTTCCTGTTTTTTTTCTACTACTAAAAAGTGCTTTAGAAAGAAGAAAGAAAAAGAAACTCGCCACTCTAAACTCCTTCAATGTCCATTAAAAGCTCAAACAATGAGTGAAATGTGGGTTAAAAAAACAAAAAAAAAAAAAATACATTCACGATGGCGCTCGTAAGAAAACAACAGCAAAAAATATTCTTTTTCCTGTCCTGTCAAAACTAGTGAAAATAATTTTTTATTGACTTGAACACATAACAATCAAAGTTTACATTTGACTGACCATGCATGAATAAACTGAAGTAAAGAGAACATCGAGGGTGTTTGTTTTGTTGACAAATAAATGAAAAAATAAGTAGGTCTTTAAAGAAGCCTAAAACAAAATTTTTGTATGACTCATGGATACAAAACTGCTTACCTTTTTATTACTATCAGATGATATTACCATTTATTTACTAATGTGTATATTTTTTTTTTATTGTTGCAGAAGATGATTATATTCTAGTCAAGCAAGACAACATTTTTGTATTTTTACTATTTTTTCTTTGTACTGATGCGCTTACTATTTATTATATCATTCATTCGCGTTATATTAAGGAAAAAATAAAAAACAAAAATACTAAAGAAGACGGTATATATATATATATATATAGTATAATAGTAAAAAAACAACACACAGACACACACAAGGAAGAGAAAATGATCTACATATAACATAAGAACAAGAAGAAGTGGATAATGTGTGTAATGTTCGAACATTCGCAAACGATTTACATTTTTTTTGTGTTCTCTACATGAAGGCACATGGGTAAATGTAGAAGAATTTGTTTGTCTTTGTATATATGTTCACATCTTTCTATATGTCATTGAAAGAGATGCACCTATTGACTTTTTGCGTGCTATATACGCTGAGACATTATACGGCACTAGAATATTTTTATAATCTTATGATAATAATGATTGCATATCACAATAATAGTCACAACGTCAAATAAAAGAGAACATAAAAAAAAGGTGTGGAAATATCTTAAAGCAAACTGTTCTTTCAAAGAAAATTCTAATTACATGTACAAAACAAAAAATTTATTGTACTAGTCAATATATTAAAGAACATTTCAGTGCAAATCCTATATTACCAATCAATTAGCTCAAAATCCTATTTAAATTGAATCCCAAAACATCTAATACCCATTACATTTATACGTTTTCTACATGTGTCTCGTTTGCTTTTCCTTTCCATGAAGAAATTTTATCGAACTTCACGGTTCAATGCCCGTAGAAATTGATATTTTTGCGAAACTTTTGTGGGCAAACAGAGGAAACTTTACTGACTCGAGGCTACGTGATGGCAACATGTATAGTTGTATCATAACGCAATGAAACTTTATTTTGAGACGGCTTTTGAATTGCGCGTTTTTTCAGCTTTTGATCCATTATTTTCAAAAACCAACGTTATCGGCTCACCAAATCGCATCAAACAAAATAAAAAACAACAAATTTTGGAGAAAAACGTTTGGGTGGAAATTGTCGTCCTTGAACTTCCAAGGGGCAATTTTTCAAAATCATAAGTACTTCGAAAACGTTTGCTACGCTAGAAATGCATATTGTATCTGACTAATTTGACCATATCTGATTATTTCACGGATTTGCCCGCTAGTCAGTGCCTTCTTATCCTATGTGCTAATTATGCTATAGCACAGGGGCCCAATCGAACGGCTTAAGCCTTGCATTTTGTTATTATTAAAAAAAATACAAATTGATGTATTGAAAACGTTAATGACCAGCACAGGGGCCACAAATTTCTTAAAACGGCTCTGCCGCTAGTTTCTCATCTAATCTCACAAAGATTCTTTTGAATACATTTTTTGAAAATCAGAATCAAATTCGCATTTTTTGAGCCATAAATCTGTGCTCATTACTACTGAGGTTAACTTGAATTGAGAAAATATAGAATAAGTTTTCTATTTATACTTATCAGATCAACGTTCACAACATTATACAAGAGAAAAGATATACAAAGAAAAAACGTTTGAACTTAACAACAAGTATCGCCACATATGACCATTTTCCACATCAAATTTAGTGTGAAAAATCCACACATGTCCACTACCCACCTCAGAACGTCCACTAATGGCCACTCTGTACAATATCACCAAAAAAATTTTGTGAACATTTTACTTGAAATTTGAAATTATTTCTGGATACATACCCGATAAAGTTTCTGGAATTTATAACATTTTTCAGATCGATTAACAGCCTTAAGTTGTGAAACATTTACCACTATCGGTATATTATGATCTATTTTATTGAGAAAAACTTTTTGTGTGCGAGTCGGAGACATTTCACAAACTATATGGATCAAAATTTTATTTCATGATAATTTGGTAAACTTGTCAAAAAATAATAAATATTGATAGTGTTTTCTTTTTTATGGACAGCTAATAGTTTTTTTTGTTTTTTCATTTATTCAATAGCAAGATGTGATCAATAAGATTGACTTGAAAGATTAATAGAAAATAAACGAGTTTCTATTGTCAACTAGCTTTATATTTTTTCAGGATAAGAAATCTGTCACAAGAGAATTGAAGCATATCAGTATTAGTAATCTATCTGTACACGCTCACGTAAGGAAAAACATATGTGGATTCAATCAATTTTTCTTTCGAACCTAAATATCCTTTTAAATATTATTATAATAGACAACCTAACACCTGTGTAAAGGCAACGTTCTCAAAGCTAAATGTTAGTTTAAAAATAAAAAAAAGACAAACTTGTGTTTGCACAAGAAACAACCTTGATAAGAAAAAAGACAAGAATAGAATGTATATGAAAGGAGAGTGTGAATTAGCACCAGTTCAAAAAAATAAAATAAAGGAAGTTGTTAATTTGACAAAAACAAAAAACAAACGGCAAACATTTCAGGAAAAGGTTAACCTTTATTTAAGCACATCATATTTCATAATATTATTTCTTTTAATTCAATTTTTGGCAGTAAAGGATTAGATCTATTAATCTTTTTTAATCCCAATGACCATTTCAAATAAAGAATTAGTAAAGACAATGCCTAAATTTCTTTTTTAATTCGCATCAGTCAAAGTTGTTCTCACCAGAAACAAAATTCTTCTTCCTTTCAACTAATAAATCTAATAAATTAACTTATTATGTAAAATTAATGTAATTTATAATCACCTAATTTCGTTGTTTTTCTTTAGAATACCTGAGATAAAAACGCCTAAACCTTTCTTTTTCAGTCAAACAACATGTGATCAATAGATTTACTGCTGCTGAATGCCTATTCAAAATGAAAGAGTAACAAACATACATACGAGAGAAAATTGAGAATGTGAACAAGAGCTAAAATCGAAAAATGCTGGAAACCACCCAGAGTAAGTACGAAAGAGCAAAGCCAGTATAAAAATGAATATTACATGCAGAAAGTATTCAGGTATAAAATATACTTTCTCAAACACATATAATATTTTACTTTGGCAATCGACCAAAAAAGGAACAGAAACGAAAAGAAAAAGAGAAATCACTTCTTTCAGTATTTTTCTTCTATATTATAGTAGTATAAATAAGCATCCAAGTAATACTTTAAATAGTTGGATGTAGTTGGATGGAATTTTTTCATTGATGAAAAATGAACGTGATAGAAACACTCGAGAGATGTCACACTTGTACGTTGATACGAGGACCTCTACGTAACAACATGCCTGTTTGTCGTCAAGATCATTGGTCTTAGTGATGTTGAAAAGCACATCCCTAAGTTAAACATAACTTTGAAGTGCGGATAAGACTATAGCGGATAAATAAGAATTTCTGCTCTCTTGACCCTAGTTTATGCTCATACAAAACAATTGTTTACTTATGCGTGTATGAACGTAAGACATGGGAAAATGGTCTCCCTTCCCTAGTTGAGACTCCCGACAAAACTCCAACGGGAGTCCCCAGTTTATGAAAGACTCCAGCAGGAATCGTAAGGAGTCCTGATGACTCTCCCAGGAACTTTCTAAAGTGAAAAGTCCAACATGGAGTCATGAGGAGTCCCAAAAAAATTCTTGCAGGAGTCCTGTCGAGAGTCCTGTTGAAGAAAGTCATGCATGGACTCCTACAGAAGTCCTGTGCAATCCCCGAGGAGTCCCTGCCAACTCCCCATTCACCGTTTGTTTTGCAGATAGGCAATATATAAATATAATGTAGTTCTATGATAAAATTTTAAA